TACATAGTGAATTCCAGAGAGATTCTGTCTCAAAAAATAATGTGTGTGTGTGTGTGTGTGTGTGTGTGTGTGTGTGTGTGTGTTTACAAAAAGAGACAGAGGAACAGAGACAGAGCTCAGCTGGGTGTGGTGGCACATGTCTTTAATCTCAGCACTTAGGAGGTTGAGGCAGGAGGATCTCTTTGAGTTCCAGGGTCAGCCAGGGCTATGTAGAAGATTTTGATAAGAAAAGCATTTGAAGGGGAAGAACTGATTTTGTGATGGGTCCCCCACAGAGATAAATGCTCAGCTCAGCCTTGCTGTGTGACCCTGAGGCCCGAACCTCTCTCTCTGGACCAGATCTTCCTGGCTGACTGGAAGGCTGGATGGACCCTGGGTCCTCCAGAGAGACCGAGTTATGTGCTGTGCCCAGTTTTCTGTAAAGTTTGCCTCCTGCCAGTGGGGACAGAAGTCAGGTCCTTAGGAGAAGCAAGCAGGAGGAAGGGCTGGATGAAGGATTTCCACGGTAGGCTTCTTCCCTACACACATCTGGTGACAAGGTCCACCTTTGATGCACTGACTCACCTGACTTTCTTCATCCTTATGAAACTCATGTGAGGCTGGAATGGTTAATATTCTTGTTTGATAAGTGGGGAAACAGATTCAGAGAGAGAGAGAGAGAGAGAGAGAGAGAGAGAGAGAGAGAGAGAGCATTGCTTGGCCAAATAGTTGACAGAGCTGGAATTGAAACCCTCTGGGCCTGTGGGGATAACCTTTAACTGCACTGGAAGCAGAGAGACAGGCATGGGAAGAGCCAGCACTATCATTGTAACTAAACGTTAATTAGGGATTATTATTTTGTGTCTGTGGTGATGGGACCCAACCCTAGGGCATTGTGCATACTAAGCAAGCACTCTACTACTGAGCCACACCCCCAGCTCCTCACTGGGGGATTCTAGGCAGGTGCTCTACCACTGAGCCACATACCCAGCTCCTCACTGGGGGATCATAGGCAGGTGTTCTAACACCCAGCCACACCCCCTTGCTTGGAGGTTCTAGGCTGGTGCTCCTCCACTGAGCCACACCCTCAGCCCTGCTGTTTTTGATACATGATCTTTCTATATAACCCAGCAGACCCTGAACTCATGATCCTCCTGGCTCAGCCTCCAGCGTGCTCAGATTATAAGAGTACCCTGTCATACTTAGCCCACTATTAACCATTTTAAGTTTGTCACATCTGGTCTCTCACCCATACTTCACAACAACCCCATGAACTAAGTTCTATTAAGTGCCCCCCTCCCCCCATTCTCTAGTTGAAACTGAGGCTCACAGAGAGGAAGCCCTAACCCATGATAATGGGGTGAGTGCGGAGTCCGAGTTTGCTCCTAAGCATCCTGGAGCCTGTGTCCTCCACCATGGGATGGAACAGAGCTTGTGCCTGAGTGGGGTCTTTTGTGAGTGGAGAGGGACGTGGTGGCAGCCTCTATTAATTGGGCTCAGAGGGAGATGAGGGATGTCAAGGTTACTGTACATGATCACCTCCTCCCAGGCCCAGTGTCTCTTCCAGGCCCCAGGATCACACGGAGAACAAGGAACTTCTGAAGCCTGTTCTCTCTTCTCCTGTTGGAAGGAAATACCCAAAGGGCAAGTATGAGAAAGTATCAAAGGTTCATTTCTGGGGCCGGGGAGATGACTCAGTGAGTAAAGAGCTTCTATTCCCAGCACTGATGCAAAAAAGCCAGGCATGGTAGTACATATTTGTAATCTCAGTAATGATGAGGTAGAGACAGGAGGATCCTAGGCTTGCTGGCCAGTCAGTCCAGCCTAATTGGTGAGTCCCAGGTTCCAGAGAGAGACCCTGCGTTACAAAGTACAAAGTAGACCACTCCTGAGGAATGATGCTTCAGGCTGACCTCCACATGTACATACAATACACATAGGCACTTGCACCTGTGTGCGCATGCACACACACACACACACACACACACACACACACACACACCTCACTTCTCCAAGGATGAGTCAAAGTTTCTCTCTTATGAGGGCCTGGCTCTGTGCCCATCCCTGATTGGCAGGAGAAATTACAAGGTATTGACAGCTCAGTCTTCAAGGAACTGAAAGGTTAGTGTCTTAGTTAGCTTTCTATTGCTGTGATAAAAACACTGACCAAAATCAACTTGCGGACGAAAGGGTTTATTTTTTCTTACAACTCCTGGGTCACAGTTCATCACTGAGGGAGCCCAAGGTAGGAACTCAGGGCAGGAACCTGGAGGCAGGAGCTGAAGCACAGGCCTTGGAGGCATGCTGCTTACTGGCTTGTTCCCTTGGCCCATGCTCGGTCTCCTTTCTTAAACAACACAGGACTACCTGTCTGTCCAGGAATAGCACTGCCCATAGCGGGCTGGGCCCTCAAACATCACTCAACTACAAGAAAATGCCCCACAGATGTTTCCACTATGCCACTCCAGTAGAAGCAATTCTCCAATTGAGGGTCCCACTCCCAATTGACAGTTAAAGCTATTGAAGTTGACAACCAAAGCTATTTAGCACAGCTAATTTCAAGTTCAGTGCCTGCCACTCCACATAAATGCGTGTGTGTGCTTCTGTGTGTACACACACGTGTGCAACTGGGGAGCAAACCTGTAGCTTCATACATGATGGGGAATTGTTATACTGCTGAGTCACACCCACAGTTCCTCATTACTGGATTCTAGGCAAGTCTTTACCACTTATCCATGCCCCCAGCCCTTCACTGGGGGATTCTAGGCAGGTGCTGTACAACTTAGCTACATCTCCAGCCCCTAGATGGTCTTGGCATGTGGGCACCTGTTGTCCAATATGTGTCATAAAGAGAAGCTCATGTATCTCTGGTAGACAGGATGATAGAAGAGAACACAGTGATAGGATCCAGTTACAGCTTGCTAATATGTATGGTCACACCTACCACCAGTGAGGAATGCCAAAGATGTTATGTCTGTCTTCCTGCTGGGGAATTGAGGCTCAGAGAGTGAGTAGTGAGTGAGTGAGTGAGTAGGACAATTGTCGTTGTTACTCTTAATTGCTGTGATAAAAAAAAATCTAAAAGCCGGGCATGGTGGTGCACGCCTTTAATCCCAGCACTCGGGAGGCAGAGGCAGGCAGATCTCTATGAGTTCGAGGCCAGCCTGGTCTACATAGTGAGTTCCAGGACAGCTGGGGCTACAGGGAGATCCTGTATAAAAAAAACCAAAAAAAAAAAAAAAATCCAAAAACAACTCAAGGGAGAAAGAGTTTTTTCCAGTTCACAGTTCAAGGCACAGCCTATCATGGTGCAGAAGTCAAGACAGCGGGAGCCTGAAGCCGCTGGTCACATCATATCCACAATCAGGAGGCAGAGAATGATGCATGCTGGTGCTCAGCTCACTTTCTCCTTTCATTCAGTCCAGGGTCCTATCTGGGGAATGGTGCCACCAGCTGTGGATGGGTCTTCTTCCCACCTCAATTAACCTAATCAAGATAATCCCCCACAGGCATTTGCAGAGGCCCACATTGCAGGTGGTTTTATATCTCATAAAAGTGATAACTGAAATTAACCATCAGCATAAAGGTCTGGGGATGAAACAGCCATTGTCTGATCTCAGATCTTCCTCCACTGCTCCTCCTCCTGTTCTTCCTGCTCCTGCTCCTGCTCCTCCTCCTCCTCTTCCTCCTCCTCCTCTTCCTCCTCCTCATGTTCCTCCTTTTCTTCATCCTTCTCCCTTTTTCTCCTTTTTTTTAAATTGTTGTTTTGAGACAGGGACTTGTTATGTATGGCAGACCAGTTTCAAATCTGTGATCCTCCTACCTCTGCCTTCTCAGTTCCAGGATTACAGGCATATACCACTGTGTATGTCCTCCAGTTCTGAAGGTCATAACCAGCCATCCCATTCCACCTCTCCCTTTCTGAATCCCTCCTCTCTCCGTACTTCCAGCCTCACTTCTGACCACATGGAACCTTCCAGCTGCAGCCCAGTCCACCCAACCTACCAGCCTGTCATTTTACCTCACCCAAAGGGAGACAGGTATGCAGTTCTAGGATTACAGGCATATATCACTGTGTATGTCCTCCAGTTCTGAAGGCCATAACCAGCGGTTCCATTCCACCTCTCCCTTTCTGAATCCCTCCTCTCTCCGTACTTCCAGCCTCACTTCTGACCACATGGAACCTTCCAGCTGCAGCCCAGTCCACCCAACCTACCAGCGTGTCATTTTACCTCACCCAAAAAGAGACAGGTATGCAGTCCCAGGATTACAGGCATATACCCAGTCCACCCAACCTACCAGCCTGTCATTTTACCTCACCCAAAGGGAGACAGGTATGTTATTAGGGACCCTCCTCTCAGATACCCCAGACTCCTGGCAAAGTTAGCTGGTCTTTACACACATTTCCTTACCTGGGTTTCATGATTATTCTGGTTTTTTTTCTTTTGCTATGATTAAACACTCTGACCAAAAGCAACTTAGGGGAGGCAGGGGGTTATTTATCTTGCATTTCCAGGTCACATTGTCCTTATTGTGTCCCAGACCATCTGCTTTGCATACACGTTCACATTCAATGGGGGATGGAGAGTAGAAAGAAGTTACAAGAATTCACACCTAAGCACTAGAGAGATGGCTCAGTGGTTAAGAGCGCTTGCTGCTCTGCAGAGTATCTGAGTTTAGTTCCAAGATCCCAGCAGGTGGCTAAAAACCATCTGTAACTCCCAGCTCCAAGGGCATACCTTCTGATGGCCTCTGTAGGCTTGACATATATGTATATAAATAGCACATACCCCTTCCCCATACATTAAATAAAGTATTTTTCTTAAAAAAGCAAGTTCACAACTAGACCAAGCACTGGGTTCGCTGTTGGAGTCAGGCATTCCAGTTCTGAACTCAACCCAGCTCCAGAATGTCTTTCTGGCCATCCCAACCCTTTCCCACCCCACTGGATCTCTTGCTCTTCCTTAGTGTGTGTCTGTCTCTGTTGGCATTTCTCACTTTCACCCTCTGCAGCATCACTAGCCAAGCCCACCCTTTCGGTCAACCCAGACACTGTCACAGAGCAGAAGGATATGGCAACCTTCTACTGTGACACCGCGGTTGAGAACGCCACCATCCGCTGGATCTCCAACAACCTCTACCTTGTGTTGAATGAGCGCATGCAGCTGTCCAAAGATCACAAGACCCTCAGGATCCTCATAGTCCAGCGGGAGGATTTTGGAACGTACCAGTGTGAAGTTCAGCTTGGTCTTGAAGCAAAGAGCAGTAACGAAGTCACACTGTGTGTGAACTGTGAGTCTCTTCCAGTCCCCGCCACCCCTTGCTGAAACGCACTTCCTTGGTGCCGCGTTCAGTCTTACAGGTTTAAATTCCACCCGAAAAAAAGACCAAGTGCTGTGAGTACAGTTCAGGAGCAGAAGTCGTCCTCTAACATGCACCGAAGACCCGGATTTGATCCCAGGAACAGCCCTATCTGCCAGAAAGCAAATTCAACACATAACTGGCAATCATGTTTGGATTTTACTAGAAACATCCAATGTAGTAGATTTAATACTGGGTTCCAAAAACTCAGTAGCTCCATCAGAATCCCTACCTCCCTCAGAATCCCTACTTCTGTTAGAATCCCCCCACCCCATCAGAACCCCTGTACTCCCATCAGAATCCCCATCTCCATCAGAATTCCTACCTCCATCAGAATCCTGTACCTCCTTTGCAATTATGCGTGTGTGTGTGTGTGTGTGTAACTATTCATAATATTTTCCCCATAAGTGATCTGGTGCTGATTCTATAATCACTGCCACGCTTGTCCTGCCCTCTCAGATGGTCCTGACCCTGTGGCAATCAAGTTGGACTCTGGTGTAGCCAGTGGGGATGTGGTTGAGTTGATGGAGGGCAGCAATGTGACATTTCAGGTGGAAACACGGTCTCAACCGGCTCCTTCCTACACCTGGTATCTTCCCACTGACTCCATCTACCCCACCACGGAAACATTCACCATCAATGCTGTGTCCAGGGAACATGAGGGCATGTACAGATGTCTGGTGGTCAACAATGTCACCCAGCTGTCCCAGCTGGGTGTTGTCCAAGTCCGAGTGCTTGGTGAGTCTCCTTTCCCGGTTTTTCTTTGGTTCCTCTGAGAGTCAGAGGATGAGGTGTGTCACAAGGGGTCCAAGAGTTAATCTGGGTATTTGGACACTCTGTGATTTCCTGGCAGGTCTTTGTGATGTTCTAGAGAAAGGACTAGTGATAGTTGTCATATTCCCAAGTGGTGGGAATTGGATTCTGAACAGAGTTAAGCTGCCAAGCCACATACGTACTTCTGAGTTTGAGGAGGAACCAGGAAGGAGGACTTCCCATTTGGCTGATGGCAAAGCAGGCTTCTTAACCTCAAGGAAGGACCCTGCTGCAGCTTGGAATATCCTCAAGACTTTGTTGGCTGTCCAAGGGTGCCCACGATTTGATTCTCTGAAAAATAAGTATATGCCCAGCATACTCTGACACATGCAACAGACACAACCTACATGCAACATAGGTACATAAAACAATACCGCAGGCACACAATACACTCATACAAGATACCAAAAATAGAGCACACACGTAATAGATACATGACCTCAACACAACATACATAGCACCTCAAAGACACATAACACATATATACATTATAAACAGGTACAAAACATACATACCCAATAAACTCACACATATTTATGACACATATATAATACATGGCACACAAGACACAGATACACATATATTATATGTAACATGTATGTAACAAATAATGCCGTAGCTCATGACACACATAAAACATACAGTGTGCACACAACAGACACACAACACACTTACACATCACAGATACTCAATATCCATCCCAAATCATAACCACTCAATATCACAGACACTTGTGACACACAACATAGAAAGCACCATGTAACACCTATTCAACACTCCACGCAAACAAGCTGATACAAAAGGTACATGCAAGTCTAACTTGGTGGTGCTACAATCCCAGATATTTGGGGAGCTGAGGCAGGAGGATTGTTCAAGGCTAGACTTGAGACGGCTCAGCAGGTAAAGCATTTCCTGGTCAAGCTTGATGACCTGAATTTGATCCCCAGAGCCTATGTAATCTTGGAAAGAGAGAACCAATTCCACAAAGTGGTCCTCTACCCTCCACTGTGGCACAAAAATGTCTCTTTCCAGTCATGATGGCACATGCCTTTTGTCCCAGCACCTGGGAGACAGAGGCAGGTGGATCTCTATGAGTTCCAGGTCAGTTGGGACTACAGGGAGACTCTGTCTCAAAAAGACCAAAAAAAAAAAAAAAAAGTCTCCCACATATCTTACACACAAACATACACAACAGGAATAAATGAATAAATAAATTAAATTCAAGACTTTCTTGGGCTATAGAGCAAGATCAAAGCTACCATGGGGAACTTAGTAAGGCCCTGTCTCAAGACAAAAAGTAAAAAGAAGGCCAGTGTTAACCGCTGAGCCATCTCTCCAGCCCCCTTATTTATTTATTTTTATTTTATGTGTATGAGTATTTGGCCTGCATTTAAATAAGTGCACCTATGTTGTGCAGTGCCTGTGGAGGTCAGAAGAGGCCATCAGATCCCCTGGAATTGGAGATAAGGACATTGTTAGCTACCATGTGGGTGCTTGGAACTGAACCCAGGTTTTCTGCAAGAGCAACCTGTTCTCTTAACTGTTGAGCCATCTCCACAGCCCCCACCATGACTTTTGTGATGGTTAGCATTCATTTTCAGTTTGATGAGACCTGGAATCATGATATAGACAAGGCACGTCTGTGAGGGATTGTTTATCCGCTGGGCATGCCTATGAGAGATTCCCTGGACTGAGATCCAAAAGGTTAACTGAGCCCAAGCATCCATCACTCTCTGCTTCCTGGTCGTGGGTGTGCTGCGACTGGTTGTTTCAAGCTTTGCAAATGTTGATTCGTCTTCAACAACCTTAACAAGAGGTACAAATATTTTTAGATAAGTATTCAGAGTCCCAGTAAGGTTAATAAGCACTGGAGCCAGGATTTGAACCTTGGTAAACAGTGATACCTCGTTTTCCTCTTAAGCTCTCAAAACAGAGGCTGGGGAGATAGCTCGGTTAGTGAAGTGCTTGCTTTACAGGCGCAAGGACTGAGTGTGCTGGCTTGTTCTTGGAATCTCAGTGCTGAGGCAGAGACAAACGGACCTCTGAGGCTCACCAGCTGGCCCACCTTGCCTATTTAAGTCCTTAGTGTCCTTCCAGGACACTGAGATCCGACACCCTCTTCTGATCTCTGTGGGCACTGCATAGCACGGGAGCACTTCCGTACATGCAGGCAATACACTCATACACATAAATAAAAATAATAAATAAATTATTAAAGAAATAAATATGTTAAGCACATATTTATTTACTGATCACTTCTTAAGGGTCCAAACACTGTACAGATATATCGAATGTGGCATGCATTTAATATGAATACATATATGCTCTTTAGAAATGATGCCATCCATACCACACATGTCAGTGTCTCAACGACTAAGTTGCTAATAAAACTCCAGTAATGAATAGTGATTAACCTCAGAATGGGGCTGGAGACAGGGAAGAAGGTGTGTCAAGCTTGACTCTTGATTTTTTTTTCCCTTTCTCTTGGCCCAGATCCCCAGTCATCTTCCCTTTCTTCGGGAGTCATAGCGGGCATCGTCATTGTGATCGTGATGGCCATGGCTGTGGTGGCTGGCCTGGGCTGCTTCCTCTACCGGAGGAGACGGTAATAAGGGAAGGAACGCGGGTGCGGCCAGCAGGGGGCGCGGAAGGGGGAGGTTGCTGACCGTGGTGCTGAACCGTGTCCAAAGCACCCAAAGAATTCGACAGATTGGGGTTTATTGCCCCAAAGTGTGCATGGAATATGGACTGCACCCATGGACATAGGCGAGAGCCCACCTTACAAGATTATGAAGGATTTGGGGTTTCAGGACCCGGAGGAGATCAGCAAATGATGTCATGCCTGAGGCCACACAACCCACTTCTATGAATGAGTGCCGTCGAGATCCCAGACCCAGTAAGTGACTCACTCTACAGCTGATACTCTGTCTTCCTGAGACTCATTGTCTCCATCCTAATTCATTCATATTCTCTCTCTCTCTCTCTCTCTCTCTCTCTCTCTCTCTTTCTCTTTCTTCTCTCTCAGGATTGGAATCCAAGGACTGTGCATGCTAAGCAAATGCTGTATCCCTAGACTACACCCCAGCTCCTCACTGGGGGATTCTAGGCAGGAGCTCTACCACTGAGCCACACCCCAGCCCCTCACTGGGGGATTCTAGGCAGGTGCTCTCCCACTGAGCCACACCCCAGCCCCTCATTGGGGGTTTTTAAGCAAGTCTTTACCCTTGAACATGTCTCTAATCCATTTCTTTTTATTCTTATTTTTTTAATTTTGGAGACAAGGTCTCACTATGTAGCTCTGGCTGGACTGGAACTCACTATGTAGATCAGGCTGGCCTCAGAGAGATTCACCTCTGCCTCCTCAGTACTGGTATTAAAGTCATGTGCCACCACATTTGGCCCCAGCCAACTCTTTTTTAAAAAAATTATGTATATGCGTGTTAGTATATGCATGTAAGTGCAGGTGCCCATGGAGGTCAGAGGCATTGGATCCTCCAAGATCTGGAGTTTCAGGCAGGTGTAAGCCACCTGACATAGTTTCTGTGAATTAAACTCCGAGTCCTTTGGAAGGATAATACATGCTCTTAACTACTTACCCATCTCTACAGCATGCCCCCCCAGCCCATTCTCAATCCTTTTCAACACAGTGCTTCAGGTACTCTCCACTGATGGATGCGAATCAATGAAAAGTGAATGGAACCATCTCAGAATCTAGGGTTCTGAAAGGAAAACCTCACAATCCAGAGGCTTGCTAGAAATTGGATATTCCCTAGACTAGATTCCCAGCTCTTTTCTTTCCTTCCTTCCTTTCTTCCTTCTTCCTTCCTTCCTTCTTCCCTTCCTTCCTTCTTTCCTTCCTTCCTTCTTCCCTTCCTTTCTTCCTTCCTTCCTTTCTCTTCCTTCCCTTCTGTTTTTTTTTGGGGGGGGGGAGAGGGACTGGGATTAGACCTAGGCCCTTGTACATGCTATGCAAGAGCTCCATCACTGAGCCACCTCCTTGTCCTTTTTAAAATTATTTTATAATGTTTCCCAGGCTGGCCTTGAACTCTCTCCTGCCTCATCAGAAATGAAGGCCAGGATTCCTCTCCTCCTCCGTATCACTAAGCACTCTGATCTAACCAGAACTTGATTTTCAGGACATTCTGAGGTTAATCCCATCTGATATATGAAGGGACAGGAGAGTCCTAGGGAGGAGGGAAAGTTCTGGGAAAACAGTGCCTACTCCCTATGTATCATTCTAACTGCAGATCTGGGCTATGACAACCCAAGGCCTGTGTATGACAATGTTCCAGAACCCCAAAGATGGATCAGAGACACAAAGGTGGGTGTGCTCCAGGAAGACTGTTCCAGCTCCCTGACTTTCTGTCTGGTAATTCCCTGGTTCATCAGGGTGGATCCCATCATACCTCCTAAGATGAGTGACTGCCACAGTCTATGTCTCTGTCTCTCTCTCCCTCTCCATCTCGATTTTTCTGTATAATTTGTGTGTATACATGTGTGGGAGTGTGGGGGTGTGTGGGTGTGGTGTACATGTTCATGTGTGAAAGTGTGGGGTACCAGAGGCCAGAGGTTGACAATTCTTCCTCTATCACTTTTCATCTTAATTTTTTGAGACTGCATCTCTCACTGCACCTGAAGTGCACCAATAGACTGGCTGGCAGGCAAACCCCAGGGATTCTCCTGTCTCTGGCCCTCTAGTGCTGGAGTTGCAGGCACAAGCTTCCATACCCCGAGGATACTGGGCCCTGAGGATCTGAACACAGACTTTCATGCTTGTTCAGCAAGCGCTTTACCCACTGAGCCATCTTCCCCG